ATACTGCCACTGGCTCGCCTCTAGCGAGATTCCTGTAACAACTTAATACGAAATTAGTATATCTACTTCGCTCGTCCACTGCAACCACCAACACCTGAAATTTTGAAATTCTACATTGTAATCTTATCCCTAAGACTTACCCACTCCGACACAATTAATGAAAATTTTAATGAGAATAATGAATTTTTATTAGTCTTTTATGAGTGTTGCTAGATATATCGACTTGGCTCGCCTAGTGCAGCCACCAACTCGGCAATTATCCACATTTCATCTTATCCATAAGACTTACCCGCTCCGACACACCATTACCTCTGGTCATCCCAACCACTGATGACCTCAATATAACGCCACACATCCCCACAACCACTTCCTGCGTCCTAACGCACCGACCTTGCTACGCCAATACTCACCTTACCGACCACTACCTGGCGCCCCTGCGCCACCATATACTCCACAACACCACACTCCATACCAGGCGTCCAAACGCCACTACACTACACCACCCAATGGCGTCCCCAACGCCCTCAACACAACACCTGGCGTCCCCAACGCCCTCAACACAACACACGGCATCCCCAACGCCCTCAACACAACACACGGCGTCCCCAACGCCCTCAACACAACACACGGCGTCCCCAACGCCATCAACACAACACACGGCGTCCCCAACGCCCTCAACACAACACCCGGCGTCCCCAACGCCCTCAACACAACACCCGGCGTCCCCAACACCACACACGGCGTCTCCAACGCCCTCAACACCATTACCACCACAGGCATATGCCTTGCGCCAGAGCGCATCAAAACACCACGAGACATCACCAACCGCAACACACACTGTCCCTTTTCTCTGGTAATCCATTAATTACCTGACCAACACTCGTCAGGCATAATTTCTTGTGTAGTGGCCACCCGCCACACACTACCACCTGCGTTAACATACTTTAACGCTAATGTCTACAATACACCCGGTGTTACAACAACCAGTTATGCTACACATGCTACACCTTGGCGCTACAATGCCAACAATGTCATGCACTATACTACATCCATGATATCCACAGTGAAAACATGCACATTTCACTACAGTAAATACTATGCATTACGCTGGCGTCTAATAAGCCACTACACATGCATTACACTACACACCACATGCATTACACTACACACCCCGGCGTACAAACGCCAATACACAACCATGCACTACACCCGGCGCCACACACCCCCACCAACGGGACACGCTCCCCGTGTCCCACGGTAACACTCTCCATAATGCTACCTGCACCCACAAAAAAATCTCCATGGCCCTCTCCAGGGTACAGTAGACGGCGAACCCCAGACGTCAAATTATGCGTCGCTCGCTATGCCAAGGCGTCCATAATTCATTGCGCCTATTTTCTGTATCTACACCTGACAACGCCGGAACTCGCACAGTACTTTAGGTAATATTTCATTATCCTTAAAATATTCGATTTACACGTTACATGAAATTTAATTAACTTTATATTACGTAGTTTACACGATTAATTTCACCTTAGCAACGGTTTCTCACTGTTTCCGCCTTACCAACGATATAAAACAAGCTCCAAGGTGCGGCTCGCTTGGCCCACCCATCGCTTGGCCCGCACATGGCCGCACATGGCCTACGCTGGCCCACATTCACCCGCGCTAGTTTACCTCGCCACGCTGTATAATCCGCACTGCGAACACTGTATAATCCACACTACGAACACTGTATAATCCGCACTACGAACACTGCACTTGTTTTCGATCCCGATGCTTCAGTGGTCCAGACTTGCCTCTTAGCCGTCTCTCGTTGTGGGAATCTGGAAAGAAAGAAATAAACCCCACATGTGCCCCACAATGGCCTAGTCCCTTTAATTAACTAACACCTCTGCCCTGGTCTCACCTGACCCTTCTTTCCTCCGTCTAGTAACCCCCCTTCTCACCACAACCCGACGTCTACCATTTCCCGAACATTCCCTCACCAACTAAACCAGAACCACACTTTCTTCATCTCGCACAGTGTTCCAAAACCTGTTTGCGCTGCCACCAAATATGTTGTCTACCAATTCCCTAACATTCTCTCACCAACCAAACCAGGAACACTATGAAGGGACACATGGAATGTATTTAAAGGCCGTCGGGTTTTGTCATTTAATTACAAAGAATAGACTCTGACAAATAATACTATATTAATTAACATACTCTATTAGGTCAATACACTTCCAATACCCATAGACCACTTGACCTCCGCGATCACCACCCACACTCGTAACTTCCGCCTAAGTCCCTAATACGGAATGATTACTACAACGCTCCACACCCGGTTAGTCTTTCATTCAATACTCACATACTGCAGACTTAACTTGGTCACTAAGATCACATCAGGTTCTCGCATAGCTGTCTGCTACACTTCGCTGCTGCCACAAACGGGGATCCAAAGGACTTGCTAGTTCCACTTCCACAATCAGACTGCCTCCAGTCGGCCATGGCCTCAAACATTTCACCACGCCTCTCAAGGAAGGTATAATCCGATTAACCTTATCCCTAGAGCGGTAATCTTGTTCCTAGAAGCCTGACGAAGAATAATTCCTCTTTCCAGGAATTATTAATTTGGCTAAACAGCTTCGGTCTTAATCCATTGACCTTTCTTAGATATGTGATCCATTGTCTGTCTACTTACATGTACTTTCAATCATCATTCGTTAAGTGTTGTAGTAATGATCCTCTAGCTAATAATTCCTACTAACTTGTGGATTACAACAACTACAGTACCCATATGATGCCCCGCCTGGACTACAGTAGCCATGTGATGCCCTGCCTGGACTTCAGTAGCCATGTGATGCCCCGCCTGGACTTCAGTAGCCATGTGATGCCCCGCCTGGACTATAGTAGCCATGTGATGCCCTGCCTGGACTCCAGTAGCCATGTGATGCCCCGCCTGGACTACAGCAGCCATGTGATGCCCTGCCTGGACTACAGTAGCCATATGATGCCCCGCCTGGACTACAGTAGCCATATGATGCCCCGCCTGGACTACAGCAGCCATGTGATGCCCCGCCTGGACTATAGCAGCCATATGATGCCCCGCCTGGACTACAGTAGCCTTATGATGCCCCGCCTGGACTACAGTAGCCATATGATGCCCCGCCTGGACTACAGTAGCCATATGATGCCCCGCCTGGACTACAGTAGCCATATGATGCCCCGCCTGGACTACAGTAGCCATATGATGCCCCGCCTGGACAACAGTAGCCATATGATGCCCCGCCTGGACTACAGTAGCCATATGATGCCCCGCCTGGACTACAGCAGCCATATGATGCCCCGCCTGGACTTCAGTAGCCATGTGATGCCCCGCCTGGACTAAAGTAGCCATGTGATGCCCCGCCTGGACTTCAGTAGCCATGTGATGCCCCGCCTGGACTACAGCAGCCATGTGATGCCCTGCCTGGACTTCAGTAGCCATGTGATGCCCCGCCTGGACTAAAGTAGCCATATGATGCCCCGCCTGGACTACAGTAGCCATATGATGCCCCGCCTGGACTACAGCAGCCATGTGATGCCCTGCCTGGACTACAGCAGCCATATGATGCCCCGCCTGGACTACAGTAGCCATGTGATGCCCCGCCTGGACTACAGTAGCCATGTGATGCCCCGCCTGGACTACAGGCGCCATGTGATGCCCTGCCTGGACTACAGTAGCCATGTGATGCCCTGCCTGGACTACAGTAGCCATGTGATGCCCTGCCTGGACTACAGTCGCCAAATGATGCCCTGCCTGGACTACAGTAGCTATGTGATGCCCCGCCTGGACTACAGTAGCCATGTGATGCCCTGCCTGGACTACAGCAGCCATGTGATGCCCCGCCTGGACTACAGTAGCCATGTGATGCCCTGCCTGGACTACAGCAGCCATGTGATGCCCCGCCTGGACTTCAGTCGCCAAATGATGCCCCGCCTGGACTACAGCAGCCATGTGATGCCCCGCCTGGACTACAGTTGCCATATGATGCCCCGCCTGGACTTCAGTAGCCATGTGATGCCCCGCCTGGACTAAAGTAGCCATGTGATGCCCCGCCTGGACTTCAGTAGCCATGTCATGCCCCGCCTGGACTACAGTAGCCATGTGATGCCCTGCCTGGACTACAGTAGCCATGTGATACCCCACTTGGACTACAGAAGCCATGTGATGCCCCGCCTGGACAACAGTAGCCATGTGATGCCCTGCCTGGACTACAGTAGCCATGTGATGCCCTGCCTGGACTACAGTAGCCATGTGATGCCCCGCCTGGACTACAGTAGCCATGTGATGCTCCGCCTGGACTACAGTAGCCATGTGATGCCCCGCCTGGACTACAGTAGCCATGTGATGCCCCGCCTGGACTACAGTAACCATGTGATGCTCCGCCTGGACTACAGTAGCCATGTGATGCCCCGCCTGGACTACAGTAGCCATGTGATGCCCTGCCTGGACTACAGTAGCCATGTGATGCCCCCCCTGGACTACAGTAGCCATGTGATGCCCTGCCTGGACTACAGTAGCCATGTGATGCCCCGCCTGGACTACAGTAGCCATGTGATGCCCCGCCTGGACTACAGTAGCTATGTGATGCCCTGCCTGGACTTCAGTAGCCATGTCATGCCCCGCCTGGACTACAGTAGCCATGTGATGCCCTGCCTGGACTACAGTAGCCATGTGATGCCCCGCCTGGACTACAGTAGCTATGTGATGCCCTGCCTGGGCTTCAGTAGCCATGTGATGCCCCGCCTGGACTACAGTAGCCATGTGATGCTCCGCCTGGACTACAGTAGCCATGTGATGCCCTGCCTGGACTACAGTAGCCATGTGATGCCCCGCCTGGACTACAGTAGCCATGTGATGCCCTGCCTGGACTACAGTAGCCATGTGATGCCCTACCTGGACTTCAGTAGCCATGTGATGCCCCGCCTGGACTACAGTAGCCATGTGATGCCCCGCCTGGACTACAGTAGCCATGTGATGCCCCACTTGGACTACAGTAGCCATGTGATGCCCCGCCTGGACTACAGAAGCCATGTGATGTCCTGCCTGGACTTCAGTAGCCATGTGATGCCCCGCCTGGACTACAGTAGCCATGTGATGCCCCGCCTGGACTACAGTAGCCATGTGATGCCCCGCCTGGACTACAGTAGCCATGTGATGCCCCACTTGGACTACAGTAGCCATGTGATGCCCTGCCTGGACTACAGTAGCCATGAGATGCCCCGACTGGAGTACAGTAGCCACGAAATGCCCCGACTGGAGTACAGTAGCCATGAGATGCCCCGACTGGAGTACAGTAGCCACGAGATGCCCCGCCTGGACTACAGTAGCCATGTGATGCTCCCGCCTGGACTACAGTAGCCATGTGATGGCCCGCCATGACTACAGTAGCCATGAGATGCCCTGCCTGGACTACAGTAGCCATGAGATGCCCCGATTGGAGTACAGTAGCCACGAGATGCCCCGCCTTGAGTACAGTAGCCATGAGATGGCCCGCCATGACTACAGTAGCCATGGCATGCCCCAATTGGACTACAGTAGGCATGTGATGCCCCGGCTGGACTACAGTAGCTAAGCATGAAGGCGTCACAAACATGGGCGACTGTCATCCCAGAACAAAGTCAACTGTCATGTATGGAAACACTGAGAGCTTCAACACCAACAACTGTGTACAGAGAACATTAAGGCTGGACTCACTGACACTCATATTACTGAACAAATATAAACTGATAACGCTGACCACTTCACAAGAGGCAGCAGTTTTATGATTACTTTGGAGGTGATTGTTCGTTGTTTTGTGTAATAATACACGAAACTACCTGTCCACCGAGGCCGTTAAGCTCAAAATGGTCTTCAGGAAGTCTATTAGGATCCATAACAAGCCCCCGGCTTCCTGTCCTAGCCCTGACCCTAAATTGTTGACTGAGGTCATATATATCGGGGAAACTTTGACTGTTGCTGACTGGTCTGATGCATAAAGTGGCCACTTGGTTGGTGGTCTTTGTTTAAGGTGGTCGTCGACTGGACGAGCATTTAATGTAACTGTAAACTGGCTGTCAAGATGATTACTGGCTGTACTGCTTTATTTCTTTATAGTTTGCAGTAATGGGCTCTAGTCATAAAGTTTGTCGTTAGGTTGTTAATGGTAATGTGTTTAATTGGTTAACATCATTATCTCCTGCACCGTTACCAGTGACCACTGTCATCCTGCAGGCCCTGGTGGCGGGAGTCGTTAGTGGTGACCAGGTGCTGGTGTTGGCCGCCCTCGCCCTGGGTGCTGACACCTCCGTCACGGTGGCGGAGACTCTTACCCAAGAGTCACACTGCATGTTGACCGAGGCGGCTGGGAGGGGTCACACTCACCTGGTGCCTCACCTGTTGGCGGCGGGACTCTCCGTGGAGGGTTCAGGGGAGTCCTACTACACACCTTTACACTGCGCGGCTTGCAACGGTCATGACCAGGTGGTGAGGCAGCTGCTCAGCGCCCAGGCTCACCTGCAGGCCAGGGGTCTTGATGGTGAGAACCACAACACATGCTGCAGTATGTTGTATTATGAAGAGTTAAGCATGTTTGTGTATGTTGTGTGTAAGCCTCAACATTACCGGTGTTACAGGTGTGACCGCACTACATGCGGCAGCGCAGAATGGTCATAAGTCGTGTGTGGTGACGCTACTTGGTGCCGGCGCTGACCCTGACTCTCGGGACGACGATGGTCGGTCACCACTGCACGATGCTGCCTTACGTAACCACACAGGTGTTGTGCAGGTGTTGCTGACAGCTGCCGGGTGTGACCGTCACGCTGTAGACAAGCACGGGGAGACAGCACTACACGAGGCAGCGATGGGCGGAGGTCTGGAGGCAACACAGTGCTTGGTGGCGGCCGGCCTCGACCCTCGCGCCAGGAACATGGAGGGACACACACCTCTGGACGTGGCGAGGCTGGCAGGTCGTGACCGTGTGGAGTGGTGGCTGAGGAAGCTGCCTCGCCCCCACCCTGCTGCTGGGACACCCACGCTGCCTCGCCCCCACCCTGCTGCTGGGACACCCACGCTGCCTCGCCCCCACCCTGCTGCTAGGACACCCACCCCACCCTGCTGCTGGGACACCCACGCTGCCTCGCCCCCACCCTGCTGCTGGGACACCCACGCTGCCTCTCCCCCACCCTGCTGCTGGGACACCCACGCTGCCTCTCCCCCACCCTGCTGCTGGGACACCCACGCTGCCTCGCCCCCACCCTGCTGCTGGGACACCCACGCTGCCTCGCCCCCACCCTGCTGCTGGGACACCCACGCTGCCTCGCCCCCACCCTGCTGCTGGGACACCCACGCTGCACTTAGTGGTAAGTACTCTTGCGGAAGAATCAACACCCAACACCAGCACACTCTTGCCGCCACTGTTCTTAACTCTGGCCGCCACTGTTCTTAACTCTGGCCGCCACTGTTCTTAACTCTGGCCGCCACTGTTCTTAACTCTGGCGGCCACTGTTCTTAACTCTGGCGGCAACTGTTCTTAACTCTGGCAGCCACTGTTCTTAACTCTGGTGGCAACTGTTCTTAACTCTGGCCGCCACTGTTCTTAACTCTGGCACCCACTGTTCTTAACTCTGGCACCCACTGTTCTTAACTCTGGCCGCCACTGTTCTTAACTCTGGCCGCCACTGTTCTTAACTCTGGCACCCACTGTTCTTAACTCTGGCGGCAACTGTTCTTAACTCTGGCCGCCACTGTTCTTAACTCTGGCGGCAACTGTTCTTAACTCTGGCAGCCACTGTTCTTAACTCTGGTGGCAACTGTTCTTAACTCTGGCGGCCACTGTTCTTAACTCTGGCAGCCACTGTTCTTAACTCTGGCAGCCACTGTTCTTAACTCTGGCGGCAACTGTTCTTAACTCTGGCGGCAACTGTTCTTAACTCTGGCAGCCACTGTTCTTAACTCTGGCGGCCACTGTTCTTAACTCTGGTGGCAACTGTTCTTAACTCTGGCAACAACTGTTCTTAACTCTGGCAGCCACTGTTCTTAACTCTGGCGGTAACTGTTCTTAACTCTGGCGGACCCTGTTCTTAACTCTGGCTGTCAGCCACTGTTCTTAACTCTGGCCGCCACTGTTCTTAACTCTGGCAGCCACTGTTCTTAACTCTGACCGCCACTGTTCTTAACTCTGGCCACCACTGTTCTTAACTCTGGCCGCCACTGTTCTTAACTCTGGCCGCCACTGTTCTTAACTCTGGCCGCCACTGTTCTTAACTCTGGCCGCCACTGTTCTTAACTCTGGCCGCCACTGTTTTTAACTCTGGCCGCCACTGTTCTTAACTCTGGCCGCCACTGTTCTTAACTCTGGCGGCAACTGTTCTTAACTCTGGGCGCCACTGTTCTTAACTCTGGCGGCAACTGTTCTTAACTCTGGGCGCCACTGTTCTTAACTCTGGCGGCAACTGTTCTTAACTCTAGCGGCAACTGTTCTTAACTCTGGCAGCCACTGTTCTTAACTCTGGCGGCAACTGTTCTTAACTCTGGCCGCCACTGTTCTTAACTCTGGCGGCAACTGTTCTTAACTCTGGCCGCAACTGTTCTTAACTCTGGCGGCAACTGTTCTTAACTCTGGCCGCCACTGTTCTTAACTCTGGCGGCAACTGTTCTTAACTCTGGCAGTCTCTGTTCTTAACTCTGGCGGCCACTGTTCTTAACTCTGGCCGCCACTGTTCTTAACTCTGGCGGCAACTGTTCTTAACTCTGGTGGCAACTGTTCTTAACTTTAGCAGCAACTGTTCTTAACTCTGGCAGCCACTGTTCTTAACTCTGGCGGTAACTGTTCTTAACTCTGGCAGCCACTGTTCTTAACTCTGGCGGCCACTGTTCTTAACTCTGGCTGCTACTGTTCTTAACTCTGGCAGACACTGTTCTTAACTCTGGCAGCCACTGTTCTTTACTCTGGCGACCACTGTTCCTAACTCTGGCAGCCACTGTTCTTAACTCTGGCAGCCACTGTTCTTAACTCTGGCGGCCACTGTTCTTAACTCTGGCAGCCACTGTTCCTAACTCTGGCGGCCACTGTTCTTAACTCTGGCGGCCACTGTTCTTAACTCTGGCGGCCACTGTTCTTAACTCTTGGAGCCACTGTTCTTAACTCTGGCGGCCACTGTTCTTAACTCTGGCGGCCACTGTTCTTAACTCTGGCGGCCACTGTTCTTAACTCTGGCGGCCACTGTTCTTAACTCTGGCCGCCACTGTTCTTAACTCTGGCCGCCACTGTTCTTAACTCTGGCCGCCACTGTTCTTAACTCTGGCCGCCACTGTTCTTAACTCTGGCCGCCACTGTTCTTAACTCTGGCCGCCACTGTTCTTAACTCTGGCCGCCACTGTTCTTAACTCTGGCGGCCACTGTTCTTAACTCTGGCCGCCACTGTTCTTAACTCTGGCGGCAACTGTTCTTAACTCTGGCCGCCACTGTTCTTAACTCTGGCGGCAACTGTTCTTAACTCTGGCGGCAACTGTTCTTAACTCTGGCCGCCACTGTTCTTAACTCTGGCGGCCACTGTTCTTAACTCTGGCCGCCACTGTTCTTAACTCTGGCGGCAACTGTTCTTAACTCTGGCCGCCACTGTTCTTAACTCTGGCGGCAACTGTTCTTAACTCTGGCCGCCACTGTTCTTAACTCTGGCGGCAACTGTTCTTAACTCTGGCAGTCACTGTTCTTCACTCTGGCGGAATCTGTTCTTAACTCTGGCCGCCACTGTTCTTAACTCTGGCGGCAACTGTTCTTAACTCTGGTGGCAACTGTTCTTAACTTTAGCAGCAACTGTTCTTAACTCTGGCAGCCACTGTTCTTAACTCTGGCGGTAACTGTTCTTAGCTCTGGCAGCCACTGTGTTTAACTTGGGCGGCCACTGATCTTAACTCTGGCTGCTACTGTTCTTAACTCTGGCAGACACTGTTCTTAACTCTGGCAGCCACTGTTCTTAACTCTGGCGGCCACTGTTCTTAACTCTGGCAGCCACTGTTCTTAACTCTGGCAGCCACTGTTCTTAACTCTGGCGGCCACTGTTCTTAACTCTGGCAGCCACTGTTCCTAACTTTGGCGGCCACTGTTCTTAACTCTGGCGGCCACTGTTCTTAACTCTGGCGGCTAATGTTCTTAACTATTGGAGCCACTGTTCTTAACCCTGGCGGCCACTGTTCTTAACTCTGGCGGCCACTGTTCTTAACTCTGGCGGCCACTGTTCTTAACTCTGGCGGCTAATGTTCTTAACTATTGGAGCCACTGTTCTTAACTCTGGCGGCCACTGTTCTTAACTCTGGCGGCCACTGTTCTTAACTCTGGCGGCCACTGTTCTTAACTCTGGCGGCCACTGTTCTTAACTCTGGCGGCCACTGTTCTTAACTATTGGAGCCACTGTTCTTAACCCTGGCGGCCACTGTTCTTAACTCTGGCGGCCACTGTTCTTAACTCTGGCGGCCACTGTTCTTAACTCTGGCGGCTAATGTTCTTAACTATTGGAGCCACTGTTCTTAACTCTGGCGGCCACTATTCTTAACTCTGGCGGCCACTGTTCTTAACTCTGGTACCCACTGTTCATAACTCTGGCGGCCACTGTTCTTAACTCTGGCGGCTACTGTTCTTAACTCTTGGAGCCACTGTTCTTAACTCTGGCGGCCACTGTTCTTAACTCTGGCGGCCACTGTTCTTAACTCTGGCGGCACCAGTTCTTAACTCTAATGGCAACAGTTCTTAACTCTGGCAGTCACTGTTCTTAACTCTGGCGGCCACTGTTCTTAACTCTGGCAGCAACTGTTCTTAACTCTGGCCGCCACTGTTCTTAACTCTGGCGGCAACTGTTCTTAACTCTGGCAGCCACTGTTCTTAACTCTGGTGGCAACTGTTCTTAACTCTGGCCGCCACTGTTCTTAACTCTGGCACCCACTGTTCTTAACTCTGGCACCCACTGTTCTTAACTCTGGCCGCCACTGTTCTTAACTCTGGCCGCCACTGTTCTTAACTCTGGCACCCACTGTTCTTAACTCTGGCGGCAACTGTTCTTAACTCTGGCCGCCACTGTTCTTAACTCTGGCGGCAACTGTTCTTAACTCTGGCAGCCACTGTTCTTAACTCTGGTGGCAATTGTTCTTTCCTCTAGCGGCCACTGTTCTTAACTCTGGCAGCCACTGTTCTTAACTCTGGCAGCCACTGTTCTTAACTCTGGCGGCAACTGTTCTTAACTCTGGCGGCAACTGTTCTTAACTCTGGCAGCCACTGTTCTTAACTGGGGCGGCCACTGATCTTAACTCTGGTGGCAACTGTTCTTAACTCAGGCAACAACTGTTCTTAACTCTGCCAGCCACTGTTCTTAACTCTGGCGGTAACTGTTCTTAACTCTGGCGGACCCTGTTCTTAAATCGGTCAGCCACTGTTCTTAACTCTGGCCGCCACTGTTTTTAACTCTGGCAGTAACTGTTCTTAACTCTGACCGCCACTGTTCTTAACTCTGGCCACCACTGTTCTTAACTCTGGCCGCCACTGTTCTTAACTCTGGCCGCCACTGTTCTTAACTCTGGCCGCCACTGTTCTTAACTCTGGCCGCCACTGTTCTTAACTCTGGCCGCCACTGTTCTTAACTCTGGCCAACACTGTTCTTAACTCTGGCCGCCACTGTTCTTAACTCTGGCCGCCACTGTTCTTAACTCTGGCCGCCACTGTTCTTAACTCTGGCCGCCACTGTTCTTAACTCTGGCCGCCACTGTTCTTAACTCTGGCCGCCACTGTTCTTAACTCTGGCCGCCACTGTTCTTAACTCTGGCGGCAACTGTTCTTAACTCTGGCCGCCACTGTTCTTAACTCTGGCGGCAACTGTTCTTAACTCTGGCCGCCACTGTTCTTAACTCTGGCGGCAACTGTTCTTAACTCTGGCGGCAACTGTTCTTAACTCTGGCCGCCACTGTTCTTAACTCTGGCGGCAACTGTTCTTAACTCTGGCCGCCACTGTTCTTAACTCTGGCGGCAACTGTTCTTAACTCTGGCCGCCACTGTTCTTAACTCTGGCGGCAACTGTTCTTAACTCTGGCCGCCACTGTTCTTAACTCTGGCG